ACATGTTCATACTTAATAATAGAAGCATATTCTAAACGTTCGTTTCTATTTGAACTCGTTTGCCATTAGAAAGGGCGTGTTGCTTATAGGTAAATACATGTTCTAATTCATCTGAAAATGCGTTCTTGTTCATTTCTTTTTGTCAATATTTTTTCCATGGATTTGCTATTTCATTAGATAAAAACGAATTCAAGCTCTCCATACAGAGTCTGGGACAATTGGTTGCTCTGAAAAATTTTCACAAGGATTCTGAATAAAATAATCACCCGAAATTCATTCAATAAATTAATCTCATAAGGAAAAATAATTATTGTGATAAACTAATCGAATTAATTATTTCAATATCGGTCAAGTTGATGAATCGAATTTAATGATCATCTATATTTAACGATATATATTTACGTTGTTCAAGGTAAAAGAAAATCATTCTATAAGAGTTCTCCGTGTAATTATTCATAATCTATTTATATAATGTTCAGTGTGTATCTGTGCCAGATCAAAGATGAAATAAGGTTATAAAGGAAAGACATCAAGGGCTACTTTATTGGAGTATTCATGAATCTTCAAGGGCTATTATATGGAGGTACTCATGGGTCTGGAAGGGAGCAATGTCATAAAGTCGTAAGGCTACATGGACTATAAAAATATGTGTGACATAAGAGATTTAGATCGTAGGGATTTCTATCTATGTAGATAATATCGAGTGTTTGTATCTCAGTTACCGAATGAAAAGTTAAACGTATCGGGTCATACGTTAAAGGAAAAAACGGTCGGACACTATACTCGGGCTTTCGTTAGTACCGGGTATCCCAAAAGTCTTGTCATGACAAGTTTTTTGATTATCTCCACTATGTCATTTGACAATATCCACTTTTTTTTGAATGATAGACAAATACACCAAGTTTTTATTCATAAAAAAAATTCAAAAGTATCATCTTGAACTGAAATATAAAAATTCAGTCTTTTTTCAATTTCTAAGAAAACATTTTTCAACGTTTCTTTTTGTTTTGATAGAACCCTAGAGGAAAAAGTTCAAAGAAGTTATATCAGACGACCTTGGAGCCCAAGAGATCGACTCTCCTCTTCCTATCCACCAGTTATCAAACTTGTCATCCAACCAACAATGAACTGTCTTCGAGAAATGGATCGGGCCCCCGTTCTTTTGAAAAATTATTTTTTTCGTGATCTTTTTCTTCTGTAAAAATGGATAAAAGAATGTCTTGAGCATGTCAAGACTACTTTTGAGATACTCGATATTGCTCTCTGTTATCATAAAAATGCTAACTTTTTCTTTCACAGCCACAAGTAATACACTTTCAAGAGTATTTATGAACTTCACTCATATGAAAAAAAACTTACTATTCTCCTCTAGCATTCAAAAAAAGAAGTTGATATTGTTAAATGAAATAGTGAAGATAGTCAAAAAACTTATCACGATACGACTTTTGGAACACTCGGTATAATAAATCATTTGCAACCCTTTTGCATATAATGCCGCTATTGTGTTAAAGGATGCGACTAAATGTTCTAGTGACCAACTGTTCGAATCTTTTGTGGCACAACAATAAGATAATGCCGACGCTAATTTTGAATTATGCCCTGTATTTAGAGGTTTTTTTTCAAAGAATATTATTTTCATTTAAAACTTCTAATTATTCGAGAAGAAAAAAAATGAGCGCAATTCGGAAATGAATAAAAAATCAGATCAACGCTATCTTCTATATTCCAAATCATGATCCTCTATATGTTAATTGACTAACCTTTTAGTCATGATTATGAACCTACCAAAAAGTATACATACTCGAAAAAGTCTTATTATTATAAATGAAATCATTTATTGATATGATTAATTAAATATCAAACTAAACTAAATCACATAATTCAATTAACGTATTCTGTCTTTCATATGCAGCGTATGACCCGTGTGATTTATTGTGCTAGTACTCAATTTTCTTCAAAGGTTTGGATATTATTGGTTAACATTTAATGAGATTATTTTGCAAATGATATTTAGTAATGATTTGCTTTTGTTATTCCCGCTGAATAGAATCGTTGATTGTTGATAGTGAAATATTATTATGCAAATAACATTATACTGATCAGAGAAAGAAATCTTTTTTTTAATGTAATATACAGAAATAAAGGTCTTCTTTTTTTCTTGCGTGCTGAAGGAAGTCTGAGCACATTGAATGTCAATATCCATTAACACAAGCGACAAATTAGTAGTGTTTGATCGATATCACTTTACTAGTCTTTCTTCTTAAGAAATGTTAATCTTCTCAACCGTCGTATAAAGTACATAGAGATGATCAGTGTGAAAATTTGAGGCAAATGCCATTTTCAATTTGTTTTGTTCGTATGAAGAGCTATTTCAAACGAGACTGAATAGTGAGTATTAGGTGATGGTTGATCTGTCATCTTTTATTCAGTCACATCGTGATATTTACTGAGAAACCACTTTTGCTAGTTTTAACGATAAGACATATATCATTTATAGAATATTCATTGTCAAATATGAGATTTTAAGAACCAAATTATGCATAGGTTCATGTGTAAAAACAAGTTTTTAATCACGAATATACAATGATAAATCAGTCAGATTATTTGTGTGAAATAATTGTCGTTGATCTATTATAATAATAATGTGCAACATGATGGACGTACTCATATTAAATATATGAAATTCAAGAATATCACATCCTTCATATCCAACAAATCTATAATTGTTTTAAGCTACGAGTGTGCGTGTAGGTGTGGATGTTTAGCTCTTCTTTTCGTTTCATAGCTACAGACGCATACCACACCGTGATTAGTGATCGGAACATAAATAATTGAAGTATCTCACATATGATTTTTATGAAACAAGACTATTGATTTATGTGATATTTGTTTAGTTTTTAGTTCAAGATAATCAAATTAAGAATTTTTTAAAAGACATGATCAATAACAAAAGAGCCATCATATATTCTGGTATTGACATTATATAAAAGGGTGTGGGTGTGGGTGTGAAGTGTGGAATGTGGATCTACTCCTTACGCACACCCAACCTACGCCCACCCACACCCACACTCATACAAAAATTGAATAAAACTTAAATAAAAATCTGAATTATCAGTAAAGATGAGCTAAAAAATATTTAGTACTTTTACTCGAACGATAATAAAGTTTATTAATGTTAACGTTTGCATGCTTGTTACAAAGACATAAAAGAAAAGTAATACATTTTTAGTGGAATCTCGACCTGATATCTAGATTTGTCTTTTCGAAGGGGATCCTAGCATTCAACTGAGTCTGAAAAATGTCTAGTTGATAGAGCTCATCGAGAACTATCTTGGTCCGTATCGTTCCTTTTTTGGTCCGGTCGATAAGCGAATCCATACAGGAAATACTCGAATCCAGCTTCGAGATATGCTACGTACCAATGAGGGGGTTTCATATTCTGACAAACCCGGAAACCTTCTATAGAAGTCCTTGAGAACGAATATTTTTTAGAGTGTACTTGAATGGCCGAAAAGATTTTCGATAATTGAATTCAACTTTCCGGTTTGACATTACTACATTACTTGTCTTGAAAAATGAATAAATTCTGTGAGTAGGTTTTTTTTGTTTTCAACTACTTCATTTTATCTGAATTGCACAAATACTCTTTCGAATAGACTTGTTGAGTTATCTTACTTGTTATTTACAACAAAGAATGAATGACAGTAAAACGTTCATGATTTATGCAATAAAGATTAATGCAAGAAAATATTTTATTGCTTAAAAGTGAAGAATGTTAAATAGAGAACAAGACTTTTTGAGTGAAAAACTTATACTTGGTTTTCTCCAGATGCTTTGAGAACTTTTGATATCATAATCACAAAAACGTAAATTGATAGAATATTTTGCATAAAGCAATGATAAAAAAGATCAACTTTGCATATCTTAGATACAAATTAGTCTGCTGATATCTACTTGTGCTTTTCGGCAGCCAATCTTCACTCGAAATCAATTGAAAATACTATGCTGATAAACAAAAAACATGCACAATTTAGCTTTGCCGATGTGTTTCGTGTTATTTATTTGAATGAAAACACTCTTCAGAACTGTGCATAACAATTTTTAAGCATAAACGAAAAACAAAAAAACTAATATGTGCAAAAAGAACAATGTAAACAAGAAGCAATAGTATATGGGTATAGGTATGGATGGGGTATAAATGGAGATACAAGCACAAAGTCTCAGTCATCATACCCACACCAACATCCATACCAACATCCTAGTTTCGGCACTTGGATTGGATGGCGGTTTCATGGACTCTCTCAATATTTGCATATAGTGGTTGTCAGAGAAGTAACGTTTCTTCAGTATCATTGAAAATAGATAGACCTTTTGTGAATCATTTGTACATTACTGAATATAGTTTAAGGGCTAAAGAATGTTGAAATAGTATTAGAAAAATGCCATCATATTGTCAATCACAAACTAGTATTTTTCTGTAGCAAAAACATTGAATCTGAATAGTATTACCCTATTTCTAACCAACTTCTCAATTAATATTTTTGTTCTAACTTTCTAAGCTTCAGAGCATCCACAAGTGTTACCAGGTGCTCAATAGGTGTTGGAGTGCTGGAAAGGTACCGAAGTGCTGAACAGGTGCTGAGGTGCCAGGCTGCTGGGTGCCAGCACTTTCACCCTTGTAAAAAAGCAATAAAACAATGTTCTGTCATACATCTAAAGAACTTTGAACGGGTAGAATCTAATATTCGTGTAATCAACAACTTCATTAGAGTCGTTTGACAGATAAAGACGCATCAGTAGCCTATGATAAAATTATAATATTATTCCTTATTTTCCTCGAATTATATTAGTAGATATGTCACTATTGAATAACTGAATATGTCAATGTTAATTTTTGGGACATTCTAGAACAAATTATTTATTGCTACCAATCTCTGGATCAATCAGCATAAGTTTTCTTTTGTCTCTAATTGCGTTCAATACTAAGAAAAACAAAAAAGTTAAACAGTTCGAATATTAAATCTTTGAACTCGATGGTTATTTGAATCGGCTACATAAAGATTGCCATATCGGTCGAACGCTAAACCTTCTGGACCATTTAATTTATCTGCACAGTTTCCTGGAAGGTATCTGTTGCCTGCAATGATGTTTCCATGTGAAGCATTCTTGTACCAGCGCATCACTCGATGATTATAATGATCGGCGACATAGATTGTGCTCCATCGATCGACGACCAGTCCTGCAGGATGATGCAACTGTGTTTTATCTTTTCCTTTACCATGACCACCGGCTACAATAACACCTTCTTTCGCCCCTTTGTCCCATTTTACTACACGATCATTCCAAGAGTCTGACACATACACAGCTTCATCTGGTCCGACAAAAATATATGTCGGATGATTAAGTTGCTTGAGACGACTACCTTGCCCATGACCACCTGCTACTACTGTTCCATAGTATTTACCTGCACGATATCGTCTCACTTCATGTCTTTCGGTATTAGAAACATAAAGAGATCCTTCATCGTCTATAGCCAGTCCAAAACATTCTTTGTTTATAATGAGTTCCTCAGCAAATATGCTACTTCTACGAGGCCATCGTAACACTCGATGATTTTGATTGTCGCAAATAATATAAGTTTTTGATTGTGTATCGTAAATAACATTTGATGGTTCACACATTCGATCAGGATCATATCCAGATATGTTTTTACCGGCTATTCTTTTACCGACGATTGCACCTCTACGAAATTTCATAATTCGATTATTGGAACTGTCAGCAACGAAAACCGTTTGGCTCTTATTCACAAAAATACCTTTAGGATAATGAAGTGCATTAAATGTAGGACATGGACCATGGCCACCAGCAACAGTTTGACCTCTAGATTTCCATACAGCATTATACGGAATATTTGGTATAACTGTAATTAAACAAAACTATTAAAAATACAAAGAATTTTTGAAAAAATTTATGATCTATTCTAACCTTATACTTCGAAAGAGTATCGATATTTATCCTATTCATCAAATCGGATAGAAAATAAATATTTTATGATGATTTTATTGTAATCTCTTTTCGGAGTAATACAAAACAAAAGCCACGAATAGATTCAACTTATTGCAGTTACAATGGACATATGAATTCATTTATAACTTTTCATAGAAAATCATAACTCAACTATTCTCATTTTTCAAATATACAAATAATATAATCTAAGTCTTCTTTTGTACGTACTACTTGTCATGGCATTGAGAAAGACTTCGCCATATCCATCTAGTCCATTCATAGACAATGGTTTCTGCACACAATTACTTTCCAAGTATACATTGTTGGATACGTCTCGAAAAATATCAATGATATTGACATTTTCTCGAGCGATATTTTCTAGTAAGTGTTTGCAGAACAAACAATTACGATTTTGTTCTCTAGAACCATCGACTGTTTGATTAGCAGCACAGGCAAATTGTATGAAAGTTCCAGGAAGCAGTTGAATTTTACTTAAACCTTTTGATGGGACTGTAGCTTAAGAAAAATACAAATATTCGTTATAATACAAAGTCATAAATAAGTGGACTTACAGCTTGATGTTGTAGGAGATTTTAGCCAATATGGTCGACAACAATCCAAGATCAGTATAGTTACATACGAAGAATTTTTCTCTACTAATCGTTCCAGTATACTTTGCACATTAATAGCGATATCTTCCACATCTATATCACTTTCTATTTTAGTATCATCAACAGGTATCAAATAGTTTTCCCCATTGACCTGATAGCCATGACCAGAGAAGTAGAATAGAATCAAATCACCATCATTGATTTCCTTAGAGAAATTTTTGATTGTCATCATCATTTTTGAATCAGCATCAATACACATAGTAACATCAAAATCGATTTTGTTGAGTAAATCTCTCAAATCCGTTGCATTGTTGATAGAATGATTTAGTTTATTATGTGGGCTACTATACTTATCGTTACCAATTATTAGCGCTACCTTTCGACGAGAAGACGAACTATCCTGGACATTTGTCATTGTTTTAATCCAAATCTAAAACATCAAATGGTATATTCTTTATACTTCGACGTCTGCAAAAGATTGTATCAAAATTTCTTCAACAATACGGGGTTGAGAGTTGACTTCTCACAAACAATCTTATATTATTGAGAGCAGTCATCCTATTCCGCGATGTTGAGCATTGCGGAATGAGTTCCGTGCAATTTCCCGAATTCCGGGAATTGAGTCCATTCTAAACTAGTCGTGATTCCCAAGAATTGCGTCTGATTCTGTAGCGATCTACATTCTGGCACGCCGGGATTTCTGGCACTGAGTCCGGTATAGAACTAGTTCCCGAAATTCCCGGGAATTCCTAGGCATTCTGGAACTTCAGGAACAGACTCCGGTCGAGAACCAGTTCCTGGAATTTCGTCTAATTTCGCTTCTACCCAATTTTCGGAATCGCTGACTTATGTCAGGGATTAATCTATAACCATACAGCCCAACACGAGGGTGAGGGCAGAACGTAATTCCATGACGTAATTCCGGGAATTAGGTTGCAGCGGAATTGTACGGAATTTCCGGGAATGCCAGGAATTGAGGAAACGAGATCCTTGTCGAATATGTCCAATTTGTTGAATGATGTTCGAGTTCAGGGAATTGCATGGAATTGATTCGGGGGCGGGACTGATTCCGCAATGTTCAACATCGCGGAATAGGATGTATTCTCATTATTGATGATTAAATATGGATAAAGTTTCCATTCAAACTATCTAGATCAATATTTCGTTCGCGTTCTATAGGCTCAAGTGACTGAACTGAAATGAAATAATTTGCAATATTTTGAGAGAAAAATCTCTATTTTCACGCTACTTCCCTAAAATAAAATCGATATATTAATGCTTACGAATCCTTCTTTTCGTACATGTACGTCGATACTTGTTACTATGTAGAATGAGGAGTTTAGAGAATGGTGTTTATGTTACAAAATTTTTTATATAGTCATTATCTCTTTTTGAACTCAGTTATTGATATATATTACTTCGGTTCGAAAATGTATTATTTCACTAATATAATTGTTCTTTTTTTACCGTGTTTATTGGCTTCTTGGATTGTTGTAAACGAGAAAAGAAATGCATATTTTCTCGTTCCCAGACAGTATTAGTTTGAGTGCGACGTAACTCACTATCATATTTCCGATTTTATTATATATGCCACTCCCTGTTATATGTCTGAATGTCTTTTTTTTATCTCGTTTCTTTCCATTCTCTTCGATAAGCTATACACACTTATGTTTGTCATTGATTTCTTTAAGCAACAAACTGACGGAGAGGGGGGGGGGGGGGGGGGGCTGTATTTTCATTACAGTGGCGCAGTTTATTCTTGCTTGAAAGATATCATATCCTTTATCGCTTTCTTCGGCTCGATTTAAAGTGTGTCAACAATCAGACGATAAAGGTATATATAACGTTAGAGACGAATGTGTTACTTAAAGTCTACACCGTAGACATTCAATGCCAAAGGTGAATGGATTAGAAGCCGAATAACACACACCGAAAATAGATATCATTGAGCATGTTTGCATTGTATCCATCCTAGTGGACGCTGATCAAAGACTTTTGTGTTAATGAGCTGATCGAAGATAAGCCTCACTTGAGTATCAATTGTTCACATGCCGATAAAAGTTGTTTCGAAAAAAAAATTGCTAGTAACAAGTATGTCTTTATCATGAATTCTTCTTTTCTTTTCCAGAAATATAAAAATACTTCCAGTTTTTAACAATTTTTATAAGTTTTATTGGTAAACTTTCAAGCGGTCGCTACCGAACCACTAATTAAGGGATTACCGACTGATAAATCTATCGAAGAATTCCCCTTCAATTAGTAGCGGCGTCATTCTAACATTTCAAAACAATAGTTTAGTAGCATATTATCAAAACTTTTGTTTGTATCCTATATATGATTGACGCATTTGAAATCAATTGACAGAAACCGATCAAGAGTATTATTTTCCTTTGATAAAAATAAACGACGTCCACATAATGAGCAAATAACTGTGTGAGTCTAAAGACTAAAGAAACAATACACAAACGTGAGTGTTTATATCTAATTAGAAAGATGAGAAGTAAATAACTAAACAGGCTGATTCATAGCAGAAGGTCTAACAGATGATCAAATAAGCAACGTGACAGGGTTTTTATGACAATTACAACCATTAGAAAACCAATAAAAACTGTATAAAATGAATCAAACAATTGTGACTAGGGAAATGATAAGTTTTCACGCCAAACTCATAGACAGTAATAGTCTATAGTAAAAACAAAAGAGAATTAACACATGCATAAGCCACACAAAAAGTAAAATTACTCTCTTGTATCTCTTTCAAAAGAAATTAAAGTTTCGGTAAATTCTTAAATTGTCTTGGAAATGCTAATTTCTTCTGTAGGATTTACATCATTCTCTAAAAGAACCTTATCTTACATAGTAACACATTTCTACATAAACATAAAGAACGATTTGTAAGTAAGGGATGACGCTTTTCTTTTTTTTTGAAAAAGGAAATAAACTGGAAAATTTTCTTGCTTCTTGGAAAAGAAAGTTAACTCACCTTCCCAGATTCAACAAAATGATACTGTAAACAGTCGTAAAAAATATAAAATTGTGAAAAGTGAGGCAATTACAGCGCGTTTTGCGTTGTTTATGATGAGTTTCCGACGGCCGGATTGATTGTTTTAGGTTAAACTTTTCTTTCCCGAAAAGAAAGGAAAGAAAAATGTAACACTTTCTTTTTTTCATGTTCTTCATATGCAACAGAGTTTCCTATCTTTCTATGAAGGAAAAAAAATCCAAAATTGAAAACGGGCAAAGAAAAAATAAAATAAAAGTGGTAGAAGAAAAGAATTATGTGCTTCAAAAAGGTGTCATTATAAGATATTGAAAAAAAAAGTTCCAGAAAAGACCGAAGAAAGCGGTGTGCATTCATCAAGCGGTACAAGCTTGTCTCTCTGTCATTGATATTCAACAAATTTTGGTCAGAAAAATTACGACTTATTCAAAATTAAAGTGATATTCTGAATTAGTATGAAAAGTTACCAAAATTTGCTAGGTATCAATGACACAGAGGCAAAGTTATGCCGGACAAAGCATATATATCTTTTTTAAAACTTTTTTTTCAATATCTTAATGATAGTTTTTTTTTTTAGAGCACAAAATTCTTTCTTTCTGCAACTCTTATTTTGTTTTACTGTTGACTAATTTCACTTTTGCAAAACTTTCTTTCATTTTTTTTTTACTTTCTACCGCTTTCTTTAGGGCCTTCTTTCTTATATAAAAATAAAGTGAAAGTGCTACTCCTTTTTCGTAAGTGTTCATATAAACATTAGAAATATATCAATGATATTCATAGCATTGTTAGCTTTTAATGATACAGAATCATTCAGCAAAATAAATCTCTTTATCGGATGAGCACAAAGAGCTATGAAAAATAAATGTTTCGATAAATGGCTCCATATTGCAACATCTGACATTATTATCTTTTCATAAACATGAGATCGACTGCTATGTGGTTTGGGTAATATTGTATCATTTTTTTATTATTTTGCATTTATTTACCGAAAAGGTATGAAAGTATACATGTTGTTTTTCACTGTTTCATGTTCACTCAATAATGCTCTACCAAAGTTCACATCATACTTAATAGTTTGAGACATTTTCTCTCATTAAAATCACGATTGCATAACATTTTTCGAATTACATTTATTTCGCTCTCAATATCTTTTTTAGATATCGAAGCAAAACGCGCATAGTTTTTGATATTTTAAATATAGATTGAAACAATGGCAACTGTCCAGGATCATTCATTTGCTCATCGAAAGCTAGCACTAATCATTGGCAACGATAACTACAGTAGTCGATATAATAAATTGAATCATTCTATCAATAATGCAAGTGATCTTAGTGATTTGCTCAAGAAAATCAATTTTCATGTGACAACAGCCTATAATCTGACAAAGCAACATATAATCGCAAATATAATTGATTTTTCTAAAACGATCAATGATGGCGACGTGAGTCTATTCTACTTTTCTGGTCATGGTTACCAGGTCAATGGGAAAAACTATTTGATACCTGTTGATGATAATGTAATAGAAACTGAGAGAGATATTGAAGACTTCACAGTTAACGTTGAACGAACACTCTCACGACTAGTAGCAAGAAATTCTTCGTATGTGACTTTATTCATTTTGGATTGTTGTCGACCATATTGGCTAAAACCTCCTACAACATCAAGCTGTAAGTAAAGTTATGTATTAATTTGTATAAGAAATATTAGTATTTGTTAAGCTGCAGTTCAAGCCCAAGGTTTGAGTGAAATTCGACCACCTCCTGGAGCTTTCATACAATTTGCCTGTGCTGCTAATCAAACAGTCGATGGTTCTAGAGAACAAAATCGTAATTGTTTGTTCTGCAAACACTTACTAGAAAATATCGCTCGAGAAAATGTCAATATCATTGATATTTTTCGAGACATATCCAACAATGTGTATTCGGAAAGCAATTGTGTGCAGAAACCATTGTCTATGAATGGACTAGATGGATATGGTGAAGTCTTTCTCAATGAAGTGATTTTACCTGTTATTAAAGGTAAGTTATAAATGATGTTAGCAAAATGGAAGACAAAATTCTCATTGCCAAGTACAATCACAAGAATTTTGAAAGGAAGAGTACAGTAACAATCGGCGTATTATTTATTAATCAATCTGACTTTCCTCACACTAATGCCAAATTGAAATAGAGACGATACAAAACCAGGAAAGACAAATGAGTGACGAATAAAGAAAGTCATGCAATGACTCGTCTGTAATTGAAAGGAGCCACATTAGGGCTATACAAACATTTAAAATTGTGCATTCAAAATATTTACACGATGTTCTCATTATTCTTGGGCAATTAAAGGCAGAATTCTACACGGAGTTGTCACTTGACTAGTAATTATACACGAGGTGCCGGCGTGAAAGTTAGCGGAATTCTTCAGTAACACTCAATCACGGCAATGTAGGACACGAGGTATATTCATATTGAAGCCAATATCAAACCTTATGCAAGATTCTAGTATCATGTTTATTCAAATTCTTATTTATCTTTCGATTTCGAATCATTGTCAAAGTCGAATTGAATAGTTAATTATTTGAAGAAGTTTAATTTTAAGAACTTTTTTTTTACCGATATCAATCCGAACTACAACACTTTAAAGTGAAATTCTTAGTGCGATAGTACGAATTTTTCAGACATAGAAAAACATAGGATAGGTAGAGAGTCAGTCAAAGAAAAATATGCACGCTAGGTTTATGAGAATGTAGTTTTTTACTACACAAGCAAAGAAGTTTCTACGAGAATGTTTGAAATAGTTGTAATACATTTTCTGTTTATTTATTTCAGAAGATAGTACTGAAGACAATCTATCCACGGAAGATTTCCTGTCGGAACAACCATTGTCACACGAGGAAAAAATCTATTATGAAAGATGTAAAGGATTCTATCGACTTACACAACAACCATTAATATCAGTTGGTGACGAAATTTATAACAACAGTACTGAATTAACATCATTACTACTTGTAATTGGTATTGATGAAGATCATCATGTTCTCGATTTACAAGACTTTTTGACAAAATTTTTTAGCAAAATAGGTATACTTATAACAGATACGAAAGTCCAGCAAATACAAATAGGCTCATGTATAGCAATAACAGAAATTTTCCGCAAGTTTATTTCGAGTGATAAAATATTACGTGTAAAAATGATATGTAAATCACTCACGCAAAAGTTATTAGAAGAACTTGCTCAAATGAAAATTTTCTTCATGTTTATGGGCACGATAGAGTCATTGAAGCAGCAACAAGCTCGTGCAGAAATTAGACTAAATCCTCAACATAATCGTATATATGGTCCTGATCATAATTATTGGAAAGGTACTCTTTGTGATGGAAAAGATCGTGGTAATCAACCCTATTATTGTCCTGTTGGATGGAAAAGATCTTCTTTGTATGTTAGTGGTAACTTTTATAGAAAATTTAAAGGATGGTGCATATGTTATCATGGTACTAGATTCGTACATGGTCTATCTATTTTATTGAGTGGTCTAATGGCAGCAAAAGATCAGGCACATGGTCCAGGAATATATACTAGTCCATCAATAATTTATGCATCTCATCCAAGATATGCTGAAATTAAACTTGTTGAATCTTCCGTTGAGAATGACTTTTTTGAAAAAGGTCAATATATTCAATTTGTTTTGGAATGTCGTGTCCATCCTAACAATATCAAGAAGATAGGATGCGAAACATTACGTGTTCGCAATCGAGCTATTATTGATGCCAATATTAGTAATGACAGTATCGAATGGCTAATTGATACTCATGGAAAAGATCTAATGGATTTTAATGATCCGAATTCTGTAATTGTCTGCACAGGAATAATGATACGAGTTACAGATAATCATCCTGGTTTATTACCTGTATCGGAATGGTGGTATACAGATGGCACATTGGACTATCTAAAATCTACACCTTTAGGTATTCCTTATGAAGACTTAATAAAGAAAAGAAAGAACAAAGAGAAGTGTAACATCATTTTTAAATAAATGAAACTCAACACTTTGTTTGAATAATCAAGATCTTGTTTCAGATCACCTTCTGAGATCAATAAAGAGTTTCGTGGGTGGATTGTGAATATCGATTTCGTTAATTTGAATATCTACAAGCACAAAACTATTAAATAACTAAGAGACATCATTAATATATTGAAATATAAAAAAAGTCACATAAACTCAAAACATATCAAAGAACGCAGAAAAAATCTAATAATGAATCTCGTTAACGTTCAGATGCATTATAAAATCATCGTTATTTTATCTCATAATTTAAGTTTTAAATCAAATTACAGTTACATGATACATTCTGCAGTATGACTGTTCGACTTTGATCGGCTCTTGAGTCGTTAAACTACAGTAAACATAAATAACATTGATTGCCACGTAACGTAGCAAAGTCACATCTCTCAACGACATTTTTTGATACATTCGTATGAAGAAAATAATGAATCACTAACGAGTAGTATTTAAACTTCGTTGAATAATCAAAAAATGTTTACATTGTTGTTTCCTTTGATGTCAACATCGAGAGGGGAATGTGCCAAACAAAATCTGTGTGGTTTCGTGAAACTTGGCAATACCTTTAGAATGTTACACAAATGTGTAAAATCTGACTAAAATTGAATTAGCCGTATAGGTTTTATAAAAACCGTGCCAGATTTTCCAGCAGAAGGTGTTTCGTACTAAGTTGTTTTCTTTTTAACTTTCACCATTCCCACTCGTTTATCCATAAATATATGTATGTCTTGCGTTATTGGAAATCTATTTAGCTGTGCTTGACGAAACTTTTTCATGTGTGATGATATTTTTTTTCGGTTAATGTTTGAATTTTCAGTTCCTCAAGAACTTAAAATTCACGAAACTTGATCACTGCTGCTGTTCAATTCAAATTCAAGGAAGTTCTTGTGTCAGAACTGCTGCCGGATACGTTCTGCGAAATACATGTAACAAAATGAGCATGTATTGGTTTATCTTTTACTTATAGCCATCGATTTGTTCTCACTCAGTCTTTATCAATCCTCGTCTGATCTCATTCTTTTTCATTTTTGTACGTGTTCTTGTTCCATCGCTTAATATTCTTGCTGCTGCGCTTGAATTCTTTCTCAACCACGTCCACGGATGAGAACGAACCAAATACTTTGTGAAAAACATTACCAACTGTACATATTACACAAAAAGTTTGCCCACATCTCAAACTAGCGATAGCAATATTCTGCTGATTTCGGTTATGTTTTACAACTATGCAATCGACACCTACGATGCCTGAAGCTAATTTTAATTGTATTTTATACCCAATTTTCGATTTTTTTTTCTTCTGCTTTACATTCAAAATCATGCTGCTTATTAAAAAAATTCATAATTCAAATCATATAGTCTCTATATAGACGGACCAAAAAGAGAATCTATAGGAGCGAATAGATTCATACACACTCAATCGCAATGAGCATGCTTCCATATCCACTAGAACATCATTTAATAGTCTATTCCAGTTGATTTTTTCAACTGCACTGATTACTATCATACTCATGAAGTAAACGCATGAGCTGCTGTGAATGCGCATATATTTCATGCAAATATTGAAGTGCTTGTCTATGTAAATGAATGCATCTGATATTGAAACATCGTCAGGATTTCATATATCAAGGATATGTAAAATGAAGTTCTACAGCATCTTTTTCACACAGACATTCACCACACTATATGTTGAAGACAATCAAATCAAAGACGAAGGAGTAGTACATTAGGGTGATGCATGTTGAAATAACACAATGTCAATTTCAGCTTTGTATTGTGTTGTCGATGTTATGTTTTTGTGAGGATTGATTGAACGAGTAGCAGACCATGGTGAGTATTGTTAAAGTTTATATGCAGTATGTATTTGTGAGGCAATGAATAGTGTGTTTGTGATCAGATGACGATGATCTTCGTTTTGTCGCGAGCAGTTTGTGAGTTAAAAGTGGACTTCGGGTTCAATATGGGATGGAAATGATTAAGTGTACTAAGATTTATAGTTGGATGAGAAAAGGCAGAGGTGATTTTGGATATTGTTTGATAAAGATTTTCGATCTTTGTAGGTTTGTTCGAAGGACTTTTGAATCTTTGTTAAGGTAATATATTTTTTTTCAGTAATGTGTAGCTGTGGTACATTTCACAGTATAATTGTGTTTTAGAGGCATGGTAGTAAGAGTGATGAGTTTTGGCGACTTTGCTTTATAAGATTGTTAGTTACGCGTGAAGTCATCGATGCCATAGTTGATAAATTTACTTTTGACCTGTTTTGTCGTGAAAATTTGTGTTTTTTTTGTATTTTTTTCAACAAAGGATCATTTGTCGACACTGTATATATGGTATCAGTGAGTGTTCTGTATTGTGATGACATTGAGGCAATACACTTCAGCAGAGTTACGGACAATACTGATTTTTTTCGACATATTATTTCTCTCTAGTATAATGTTAGTAGTTGTTGTTGAAATTAAAGAGAAAGAAATTAACCCAAGCGATGATTTTCACTCGTGGCTTTTTTACCCACGCCGATTGCAATGATTTGTTCACTAGGTCAGCCGAATCGACTAGTGAAATTTTTTTGATAGAGGAATTGTTTGTTGGATAATTATGTCTCTTATCTCAATTGGTTTACAAAAGTTGAGTGAAACATAGAATTATTACTGTATATTCAACATTCATGTACACCATTGACCATTTATGAACGACACATAGAAGACTATCACATTATTGTGCGATTAGCGTTTTAAAAGAAATACGATGCTAACGCATACACACCGTATCTGTAGAATTTAATGGTGATTTCGACACTATTTTGTTTCGATGTTGAGAAAAGTCACAATATTTCCTTTATTCCCTCGACTGCAGAGAGAGTCATATGAAATAAAATGCGTTTGTATGACGTCAGTCCAATTAGCACCAGATTCGACATTTCTTGTCCGAATTTGTCCCCTCAGCTGTGCTATTGTTCACGTTGGTTGTGTTGGATGCAGAATTTGATTCTAAATCGAGCGGTGCTATTTTCAGAAAGGGACATCGGGCAAAAAATGGAGATTCATGGAAAAAAGCTGGTTTTAGAGTGGATTTTGGGCCGATATGTCTTGTTCGGATTCACCTTCTCATCTGCGTTATTGTTGTAGCTGATTGGGTGCGAGTGTAGATGTGGGTGTCTCTTTATCCACACCCACATCCCCACACCGGATGAAGAAAAAAAAGAAGAAAAACTACTACAACTATGAGGTTTTATCATTTTTCTACCAGTGTTATTTATCTTCTAATTGTAAATGTTGATTTTCTGGTGCACATCGCATCATAATTTATTCCACTTTGTCAAATTACACTATAGAAGTAGGACGCAAATACACGTGTACGTAAACTATAATAGTTATACTCGTCCTACCTCTAAATTTAACTCAGTCGAACTGATAGAACGAAGTAATGATATAATTATGGACGCACATTTAAATCTTTGTATTTGTTTTTCAAAACACATTAAAAGAAGAAAGTATTTTTTTTTAATTGGACTAATGTAGAGTCTGTATTGTATTTTCCCATATTTGTCTTTGATGTCTTCTCAATTTCACTAACAATGCCTCTTGTATGGTTTTGTTCTTTAAGAAACAGACAGGCGCCATCATTGATAAACCCATTGAAATACAGACGACACTTATCAAATAAAACCATTCCGGAGGCTCTTGTTGTGTATGCCAAATAACAAGAATAAAAAATGGAATACCACAAAATAAGAGAATACTTAGTTGAATAATGATATTGAAGAATACTTTCACTTCACGTCTGTTCTGCAAGTTAGAGTTTTGTTGAGAAAATTGAATGACTCGATTTTTTGAATGTCGAATGTGATTAAGAATGATGCCATAAATCACTATAACCACATTTACAGGAATCATAAATACTGTAATAATTGTATAGAATGCAGTGTGAAACTGTTGAGAAGTTGCTAAACATAGACGCGATTCTTTTTCATATCGATAGCCATTGTAAAAGAAAGGTTCAGTTGAAATTAGAGCACTTACAAGCCATGTACCAGCAATTAGACCAAAATGAAGACGATAAGTGAGAAGAAATCGATGTTTACTGAAGATGACAAAGAATAATCGACTTAAAGCTTGTGCGGTATATGAAAAACATGTAGCCGCTGATAAAGTAACGAACATATAACCTTGAAACAAACATACTGATTGTTTCAAAGACTGTTGTTCTTGAAATCCATATGCAGATATCCAGAATAAGAGAAGAGCATCGACACTGATAATTAAATGTGTGTGACAAATGAGTAAATTCGATACGGAATGACATCGTCGATTGATGATAACAACAATGATAATTAGTAGAGAAAAAGTAAGGCTGATCAAGGAGGTAACAATGATGGCAGTGTAACTGGCATGATAGAAGTTTTCTGGTAGCATTTTGTAATGAAATTAACGTATGTGTGTATGCGAAGCACACAGTGTATTTTATCTCTCTTGTCTTTTCCCGAGAATGATAATAACAGTGCGTCGCTTGAGTTTCAACTAATAACACAATGACTAATATGAGATCATCTTTTATGAGTACGGAAAGAGTGTATTTCCGACTACGACTGATTTAAAAAAACACCACAGGTGGGCTGAACTACCATTCGACAAATGAATGCAGTTTATTGTCTTTGAGAAAAGAAAATCATCAAGATGATATTCATAATTAGTGTCATTTTTTGTTTTGCTCAAAACAGAAAATAAGAGAAAAACATTTGTAGATATGTCGTTGCTAGACATAATTTGAATAGAGAAAAACAACGAAATAGATTTAGCACTAAGAATCGGTCATTCAGTCCGTTTGTTGTGAGGTTCGAAGTATAGCGATTCTCACGTCGTTCACTTGTGTTGACGAAAGAGAACTTGTCGGATAGAATTAGATCTGCAGATATATTTCGATCAAATAAAAAGACTGAACAAGCACAACAAACAATCGATTGTGCACGATTCTTTCTCAAGCAGAAATGATTAAGCAAATTCCACAATAGATATTGAATACTGAATGAGATCAGAGAATGAAAACATAGAGTCAAAGTCCGAATATTCATTGAAGATCTACGTGAGCCACGCATGTGTCGATGAATTAAGTTTTAATCGAACATAGATCATTAGTGGAAATACAACAAATGAAATGGCTGTCAATCCATTACAGAAATATGATCAAATTCGATTCGACCGTATCTCAACGACCAAAAACACAGAACTGGTGACCTTTGGCTTGAGAGACAAGCCCAGTCCTGAGGATACGAGTGTCTCTTTGCTCACATCCTCCAGATGGTCTTGTCTGTCTCTTTAATTCCATGCCAAATTTGGATATCAGCACTTTTCCGGCTATTTTCTTTGGTGTTCTATATTGGGATGAAATACGTCTTGATTTATACATCAATGCATGCATGCAGTAAAAAAATATCAAAATGAAAATAACTGACGAGTCTGTATGCATCATTAACAATCTTTCAGCTGACAGTGGAAAATTGCAACAGTAATAAAGTCTTTTGCTGAAGTATTAACAAACAATGTGATTGTCATTATATTAAATCCCCTATTTGAGGACAGAAAAAGAATTCAACAATTGAGTAGTGTGTGTCCCTCAGAGTTGACTGTTGTTCGTGTGTTAAGATTATGCAAGTATGTATGAGAAACAAAAAGATAGAAACCCATAGACACATTTTGGATGTTCTCTTCTGCAACAGCCGATAGAACAGACAAAAATACGATGAGACATAACAGAAGTGAAGGAAAGAAGAGAGGACAACCGAGTGCGTATTTCTTCTATCATTCATTTTTGTCAACTAATAGCAACAATCTAGTTAACATTCTACAATCCAATACTTGTTGTTAACATGCAACGCAATACTGTTTACGTAGTATTATGAAAATATCTATTCTAGTTTGTTCTGTTTTACAGAGCAGGCGAAAAAGGTAATGATTTGTTCTACTGATTCCTATATGGCAAGTATTTCAAGATTTAAGAATTCGTTGTAATTTCAAGGTGGTTGATGTCGGAACAGGCGAAGGTTCGCTTACTCTACGTCTTGCGACATTCGTTGGTCCGAAAGGTAAAGTATATGCAGTAGATATTTATCCTAGATATATCTGTTACATTCAAGAAGAAGTCGAAATACACAGATTAATCAATGTCGAAGCAATTTTTGGGTCGACAACAGGTCCAAAATTACCCGAGAATTCATTATATACAATCATAATTTTAATTGCCTATTATGAATTCGAAAAATCGATTACGATAAAATGCGTGTGGTAGCACGTGAAGCTTATCCCACACCAGGATATATATTACATCGTGTCAATGAATCATTGACTGATCATTCTTTGATCAATGAACATTATTTAGCACTTGATATTATCGCGCGAGAAGCGAAATCAATTGATTTCACATTTTTATTTTCGCATGAACTCGATGGTGATTATGATATTGCTGTTGTTGTTAATAATTGACATATCATGTGTGTGAATAGTTTTTTTTCATTCGTATATGGCAAGTTTATTCTGAACTATTTTGAAACAACTTATCCTCGAATATGATTTTATATGCGCTTTCGATAAATGAATCTGTAATTGGAAGGGATGCTACAGAATGCTGAACATGTACTTCTATTGTTGTTGCTTTTAGTGATGATGTGGGTGCAGAAGAACAAATATCCACATCTACACACTAGTTTCTTAAAATATCGCGCTGCCTATAGAAATAGAAAACTAATTAATGATTAAGTAGCTATATATTTATCGAAAAAATATCTCTTTTCAGAAGCTGCGATAGAAATGTTCTAGGCTTTCCATGAACTAGTGACATCTATAGATTTCGAGAAACCTTAATCTATATACTAGATCGGTGATCACTTATAGATCAGACAACTCAAAAATAAATAAATCTTCTTATAACATCAAGTCATCCTTGTATTTTGTTGACAATATAATTCTAATTGATCAATCATTAACCGATTTGCACAATAATTGCGAAAGTCTAGAAAGTAACATATGTAACATAAAAAATTTCGTCAATATCAATAGATACACATATTTCTTTTTTCTAGTTTCGTATTCATCGTACTCAATAAAGTGAAGATGGAAGATTTGCAAAAGCTTGAATATCTCTCGCTTATATCAAAAATATGTACGGAACTTAATAATCAGTTGGGTATTAATGATAAAGATTTGGCTGAATTTATAATATACATGGTTCAAACAAGTGATTCATACGATTTATTTCAAAAGCGATTAGCAGAAAATGGTGCTGATTTGTCTGATTCATTTAGTAGTAATCTTTATCGAATTGTTCAAAAAATGTTACCAACACCATTGAAAAAAACAACATCTGAAAATCACCATGAAACACGAAGTGAACAATCTCGACAATTAACTGATGTTGCAGTGAGAGTAAGTTAATTTCATTGCTGCTTTTTTTTCTTTACAAATAAATTATCCGTTTGCATTATAGACAATGCTTCATGAAGAAATAAAAGAAAATTCTACAAATGAACAAGACATAAAAGTTGTTGATGATCTTATGGCTAAATTAGAAAATCTGCAAGTGAAAGTTAAATCTGATCAACCAATAAAACATGATGATGAAGATGAACCTAAAAAAAAGAAAAAATATCATCATCGTCATCGTTCACTTGATTCAGAACATGATCGAAACAAACCTAGGTATAATATTTCTGTTCATAACTCATCTGATAAACGAAAATTTTGACGATATCGAAATCTTAGTAGAATTTTGCAAGTTTTTGAAATTCTTCAATATTGTTGAATATTCGTAATTGTGAAAATTCTCATGGAATTACGAAAATTATAATTTATGAATGAATATTTGAGAAGAGAGGTTACAGTCAGGGATGCAAAATCTACCGCTAACATGCAAATTTCATCGAACGACTAAGTTTTCACGGAAAATTGTTTTAAGAAGAAAAAAATAACACACACCCCCCATAATAAATTTTCCATATTTATTTTCTATCGTTGAAACATTAACAATTTTGTTAAATTTTCGTTGTTATGCAAGTAAATATACAATTGAATTTTCTACAAAATTATGGATTTTATTTTTCCAATAGTCTTTTGACGTCAGAGGAAAGTTAGGGAGATTATCAACTATTTCATCGTACAATTGCAAAAATATTATAAGACATTTTTAGCAACGCATGTGTTGAAATTCGAAATAAGTTATAATATTTTTTTCATACAAAACTCCACATCTTTTGATATGACTTTCAAAGTGTTAAAACAAATATGTAGAAGAAAAATTTTCGAAATAGAAAATGTCAAAATTCAAAAAGAAACCGATGATTTGAGATAAATCATAGTTATGATTTTGATTTAATGCAAAGTAGCCTGTATTTTTCAACTGTTCAAGTAAATCCATCCAGTATTTTGCTAAGAATTTATTTGTACATCTAATGATACAGCAATCAATATATTATAGGACTGATGAAACTTTAAACGCTGCAAATCATACTAAGATTGTAAGCATGTAGAGCAAAACTTCTCTATCTGCTGATGTACAATGTTTAGCTTTAAGCATCGACTTTAATAAGCATGTGCTCACACAAATCGGTTTTTTATCCGTAGGTAAACAGGGATTCTCAGTTTGACAATCCAATAATCGTTCATGCACGCAGGTAGATTCTGCATATCTGGTTAGAACCTGTTGAGTCCAAAGTTTTTCGAACTCGGACTCATTCGAACTGTAATTTGATACTCTGAATGAAACTTTTATAATCGGACTTATATTTTCGTATTCGTTAGTATGGATGCGAAGAGTCCCCCATGTCTCAAAAACTGGATCATTTTTAGCGGTAAAACGCCGGTTTTTACTCGGTTTTCACTACATGAAGTGACTCTTCTCTTCAATCATACTCACCCCATATCGAATGATGAGGTAAAAGTTCTAACTAATTGAGTACCGCTGAAATTCCAGTGAAAACTAGGCAATAAAATACCCATCAACAATAATTATTCCCGAAATTTCATAGAGTGTTTCATTTTAGTTTTTCTAAACTTTTCTTTTAACTTTTTAGTCCCAAAGATCATAAACATTGCCGTCATTTTTCGACCGATTCTCAAAGTAGTAGTACTAGTAACTGTTCACGTTCATCAAAACAATCTCGACATCATGATCGTAACAAATCATCATCACGACAAAAACAACCATCTGTTCCAGATAAACCAATGCCTGGTTCAATTTATGATGGTACAGTTATATCAATAATGCAGTGGAGATGTTTTGTACGACTCAATCAATTTCACGATCGAACAGAAGGAGTTGTACATATATCTAATGTAAGTAGATTTATCTATTTATTTACCAGTTTAAATTACTTCATTTATTTGTATATTTAGATTCATAAAGATCGAATTAATAATATATCTGATGTTGTAAAATGTCATCAAAAAGTTAAAGTTAAAGTTCTTTCATACACAGATACCGAAATGAGTTTATCAATGAAAGACGTTGATCAAAATACAGGTGAAGATTTAAATGAAGATTTAACAAAAAAATTGCGTGATGAAATAAGTATTGAAAATAATCGTAATCTTGATAGTCCTATTAATTATTTATTATCAAATCCTTCAAATACATGTGATTCATCATCTATAGATACGAATTCTAAAGATAAAAATTCTCGACAAATATCTGATTATGATCAATTCGTCTTAAATCAAATGATAAATGATAAATGTATTGATACAATACAATTACCAAATTATGATGAAGATTTCGAAGTTGAATTAGTTGATGAAGAAGCACCATTTCTTAAAGATTATGGTAAACAAAGTTTACAAGATGATTTAAGTCCAATTAAAATTAATAAAAATCCTAATGGTTCATTACAGCAAGCAGTTATGATGCAAAATATTTTATCAAAAGAACCTCGTGAAATAAAACAACAACGGAGTGAAACAAATTCTGATAATTTATCATCATGTTCATTAACATCAGCTGAAATTAATATAAAAGCTTCAACAAATATATCCGAATGGAAAAAATTTTTAATAAATAACAAAACAACATTTGGTAAACGAACAACAATGAGTATAATTGAACAACGACAAAATTTACCAATATATAAATTAAAAGAACAACTACTTAAAGCTGTTAATGATAATCAAATACTTATTGTTATTGGTGAAACTGGTTCTGGTAAAACAACACAAATAACACAATACTTAGCTGAAGCTGGTTATACATCATGTGGTCGAATAGTATGTACACAACCACGTCGTATTGCTGCTATGTCTATTGCAAAACGTGTTGCTGAAGAATTTGATTGTCGTCTTGGACAAGAAGTTGGTTATACAATTCGTTTTGAAGATTGTACATCACCTGAAACAAAAATAAAATATGTGACTGATGGCATGTTATTACGTGAATGTTTAATTGATCCCAATATGAATCAATATTCTGTTGTTGTGTTAGATGAAGCGCATGAACGTACTCTTCATACTGATGTACTTTTTGGTTTAATGAAACAAGTAAGTCAAATGAATTTATTATCTGTCCTATGATGAAAACTGTTTTTTGATCGTTCTTAACTAAGATTTAAGATTCCTTGTAAGAGTAGGATAGACTGAAAATTCAGTAGAAAGTGTATTCGTTATTATCGACTTTATGTGATATAGTGTTTGAGAGAAAGCGTCTCTGTATGATCATCTGTCACACGAAAGAAAAAAACAGATTCTTTTGGAAAAGAAAAACACTGACTGATGGATAAATCTGACACCCAATTTTCTCCAAACTCATTTGTTTGATGCCTGATGAGCTATAACGAGTTTGAAAATGGAGTCCAATTTATCAATTATTATGTTTCACATTATTTTATTTATCAAAAAAAAATATTGATCAAAATATTAGAAGATACTTAATAGTTCCCTTCGAGAAACATCTGATCTTTAATTAATTATTTTACTACCTTGAGAGACTTAGAAAGAAAATAATAGTAAACCACAACTTTTTTTTAAACTTGATAATATTTACAAATTATATTATTTAATTGTATGTGTTTAGGCTGTTCAAAAACGTTCAGAATTAAAAATAATTGTCACATCAGCTACACTTGATTCCGTCAAATTTTCTGAATATTTCTTCAATGCAGTAAGTGATTCATTGAAAATTTTTTGTAATTGAACTTAAATTAAATTATTTTTTGTTTGTCTTGTATAGCCAATCTTTACTATCCCGAGTCGAATATTTCCTGTCGAAGTATTTTATGCAAAAGAACCTGAAATAGATTATCTTGATGCAACCATTATAACTGTAATGCAAATTCATTTAACTGAAGCGCCTGGTATGTATTGTTAATAAAGAAAAAACTTTTTAGTTCTTATTTTTATTGTTTAGGCGATATATTAGTATTTTTAACGGATCAAGAAGAAATTGATATTGCATGTGAAATTTTATTTGAACGAATGAAAAAATTAGGTTCTGAAGTTCCAGAATTAATTATTTTGCCAGTTTATTCAGCATTACCTAATGAAATGCAAACACAAATTTTTGATCCAGCACCATCCGGTTCACGAAAAGTATGTTATTCAAATAGAAATAATTTCTTTTTGTCTTATTTTGTATTTAAATAGGTTGTTATTGCAACAAATATTGCTGAAACATCATTAACAATTGATGGTATCTATTATGTTATTGATCCAGGATTTGTTAAACAAAAAGTATTCAATCCTAAATCAGGTATGGATACTCTTATTGTTACACCAATTAGTCAAGTATGTTATATTTTTTGAAAATAAGAAAATAAATACAAAGGAGCTTTATTTAGGCTCAAGCAAAACAACGTACGGGTCGTGCAGGTCGAACAGGTCCAGGAAAAGTTTATCGTTTATATACAGAACAAGCATATCGTGATGAAATGCTTTCAACTAATGTACCTGAAATTCAAAGAACACATTTAACTAGTACAGTTTTAAGTTTAAAAGCTATGGGTATCAATGATTTATTATCATTTGATTTTATCGATCCACCACCATTAGAAACAATGATTATAGCTATGAAGCAATTACATGCATTAAGTGCATTAGATGATGAAGGTCTTTTAACTAAAGTTGGTCGTCTTATGGCTGAATTTCCATTTGAACCTCAATTATCGAAAATGTTAATTATGTCTGTTGAACTACATTGTGCGGAAGAAGTATTAACTATTGTTTCAATGCTTTCTGTTCAAAATATTTTCTATCGTCCTAAAGTATGATTTGGTTTTTTTTTTCTCATCATCTATTTTTTTCATATAGGAAAAAGCAGAACAAGCTGATCAATGTAAAGCTCGTTTTCATCAAGCTGAAGGTGATCATTTAACATTACTTGCTATTTATAATACTTGGAAACAAAATCAATTTTCAAATTTATGGTGTTATGAAAATTTTGTCCAACAACATTCACTTAAACGTGCACAAGATATTCGAAAACAGATGTTAGCAATTATGGATCGGTATGTAAGCGGACACCCACACCCACTTTTTTATTTCATAAAGATTATACTAACAACTTTTCTTTGCAGACATAAACTCGATGTTTTATCATGTGGAAGACAAATTGGACTTGTTCAAAAAGCAATTTGTTCCGGTTTTTTTAGAAATGCAGCTAAACGTGATCCTCAAGAAGGTAAAAAACTCATAAAAAAAGCGTTAAGAATTCTATTTGAAAAAATATATTTTAGGTTATCGAACATTAGTTGATAGTCAAGTTGTTTATATTCATCCATCAAGTTCAATTTATCATAAACAACCAGAATGGTATGTATAAAAAGTTTTGTTTTTTGTTCAAAATAATCTTCATATATATAATTTAGGCTTTGTTATCATGAACTTGTATTTACAACAAAAGAATATATGCATGAAGTTTGTGTTATTGATCCAACATGGCTTGTTCGATATGCACCAAAATTTTTCAAATTTCAAAATTCAACAAGATTATCAAAGATGAACAAAGAACAACGAGTCGAACCATTGTGCAGCAAATACGAAGAACCAAATTCATGACGTATATCACGTCTTCGTCGTCTTTATTTTTATTTTGTATATGGAATATTCTATATGTTTGCTTATGTTTATTTATGGTAAAAATAAAACAAGACGGATGTGCGTGTGTGTGTGGATAGAAGAGAGAATGGAAGGCTCACATCCACATTCTTGGTGATTATAGTACGTTTTTGCATGTTTGTATTTTCCGATGCTTCTTGTGAATTTTAATTGGTAAACAGTGATGGACAGACAGAGAGAGAGAGGGTTGATCAAACTTCTGCGTTTCACAAAGATTCATATGCGTTGGACACTGCTTAACAATTAGAATGAATTCATCGTGTTTCACATTTTCATGGCGTACAAATTACGCTAACAGCGTTTTCCAGTAGAAACCGCAATATCTTTTTTATCGCGATCGAAAACAACAGCGATTTTCGTTGGATGAAGCTAATAGAACTGTCTACAAAAAGGATAAAACCATGCGCACTGTCGTTGCTGAAAGTTTCATGTCAAAGAAATGTATTTTTCTCATCTAACTGAGAAGTTCAGGGTGTGGATGTGGGGGTGTGGGTGTGGGGGTGTGGGTGTGGGGGTGTGGGTGTGGGTGTGGCTTAGTCTTAAGATTCGTGCTTGCACCCACACCCACAAATATTAATAACTGCTCTTCTAATACATAAATTCGCGTTTCAGTGTAACTTTTCTTCACAGTTATTTCTGTACTAACAGTTAAAAGTGATTTCACGACACAAACGAGTAGGCTACATCAAAAATTCAATGACATCAAGCTGGTCCTTATTAATACTCACAAACACGTACGATTCACTTGTTGATTTACAATTTGAAGTTCTTGAAGCTGGTAAAATAATTCTATCAGATATTTCTACATTTATATGTATGTGGAGATCGTTCTTAGTTGTTAATATAGGAATAGCTATCAAGAAGAGTGACATGAAATGCCAATTTTTGTGTCGATCGATGAGTGATTAGTGTCTATAGATGTTCATGTAATATTTTTCGTTGCTTGATGGGCAGAGTGTCTAACAAGCCAATTTTTTATAAAACGATTTCAGACAACCAAAAAAAACCAAGAAAAAGTTATAAAAAAGCTCATAGAAAAACATTTATCATATTTCACAGGAGAAAACACAAAATTATTTTGATCGAACATAGTCAATTTAATCATTTCAAATTAACTTCACATATCTGTATGCGTAGAGACAAGTGTATACAATATAACAAACGACTGAAATTGAGAAGAGAACCAGTAGAGAGGATTCTACTTGCTTGGTTTAATAAGACTACCGTGACTTTATTTCATTTATATTTGCGTGTTTCATTGCACGAACAAGTAATATATTACCTAATTTGCCAGCATCTAAACGATTTCATCGGGTAGTATAAACTAAGTCGATATTGGGAAATTGTCTCTCGAAGCTGACAGATGTTGTTGGTATTGAAAACAATCAACGAGTCAATAATGATAATTTAGGTAATTTTAATTTATGCTCCTACTATCAAGGCAGTAGATTTTTGTTGCCTTGTTTTTGTTTAATTTTTCAATCAAGCATATATACTGCATAATTTCATTTGCAACCATGAGAAACCATTAAAAGTCAATAGAAATCACAAGAAAATCAGTAATAGTATGATTAAAAGTGAATTTTTGATTTCTATTGATTTTTATTTTTATTTTCTTCATTTTTGACAATTTCCAATCATTTCTATTGATTTTCGACTAACACATAAAAACTGATTTCCATAAGAAGAAATTATGACAAATTAAAGAAATCAATAAATTAGTTTGTTTTTCGGTGGTTCTAACAGCTGATATTGTTTTTTTCTTTGATAATTGTATAACTACTACTTCAGATAATACAGGTGATCACGAACGATTTATAGCTTCAATGTCATCACGAACAAACTAGTAAAGACCAAGGACCAAATCCATAAATGATTTGACAAAGTGTCAAACGAAAACAATTCATTGAAATTTGTTTCGTTTTTCAGACTGATTACCTATCCGAGTATCTAACTATATTGCAAAACATTCATATTGTTCCACAATTCTATAATCTAAAATGATCCTATTTAATATCATCAATACACGAAAGTCACATGTCAATAGGATTTTATATGGTACATGATTCATTGGTGCGTCACAAGTTGTGGAAGTTGTACGCCTGTCACAAAAGCATATTTTTCAACCTTGTCAATTTACAACTCGCTCAAAATTTTCTTCGATGTAGATTCGATACAAACCTCAATCATCGTCGTTTATCAAATGATAAAGTAAGCTAGAGAGGAATCTTAGAAAGACCAAAATGCAAGTTCTTATACAAACATGTATTCTGTTGAATATAAGACTTATGAAAAAAAAACCGCAATTTTTTTCAGAAATTGAGAGCAATAAACGATAGCATAGTGTTTTACAGTTAATTAGCCTTTGTATGTTATCTTTAAGTATGGTAAAGCTTGTCCATAACGATAGACGATATATTCAGCATATTTGAATCCAGTTCCTTTGACGGAATGAAACCCTTGCGGTGCTGAAGCCAACGCCATATTAGGTGCATTCTGCGTTGATATTATTCCTAGTGTGACTTTATTATAGAACATCACTCGTGCTTTATTAGGTCCTTTGGGTTCTGTATAATCGTGTGATTTACGAGGATCATCAGCAAAATATGCGCCGTGACCTAAACAAAAATACCAAACAAAATAAAGAATTGAACCAAGCACTTATGTCATATCTGAGTACACAAAAATTCAAAAGATGGTCTATAGTCTTTCTAACTCATATCTTAATTGTTCTATTAGCAAGATAATCGTGTCTTTTTCAAGTAAGCAGGTTCGAAAACTTCTCATGAATCTATTGACTATTCCTTACGATGGATCATGTCTTTCCTTTTGATAGCTTTCGGAAATAGATCAGTAAAATGGTACGGCAATATGTATTGTTATCCGTACAAATGTGTCATCAATAATCAAAAATAAAATAAAATGTTGTACCGTGTTCTATGCCGAAAATCTTATGAGATTTTTGTGAAATCAACTTCTGTTTGACGATAAAAGTGTTCTGTATGTTCATTTAAGAGTTTTACTAAGACATGCTTACCCCACGCTCCTTGCGGATTGAAAAATCGATCATCAAAACCGTCTTCTGCTATACCGTTGATTCCAGGACCATGTGTACCATGAAAAAGTTTTTGTTCGTTTGGATTATATCCTTGAGTTTTACATTGTTTTGCAATGATTTTTTTCATTGCTTCATATGAATCTTCCAAAAGAGGATTTTTTATTTCATCAATTGATAGAATTTGTATAGGTCCGATTTTTCTCATCGTTTGTGATAATGCTTGATACAAAGTTGATGAAGTTGGAAGTGGAACAAGAACGCTATAATGTTTTGGATGGGGTGGTGGAATATAATCCATTGGTTCTCCATGCTGTGTCCATTGACGCAAAGTCATTTTCTGAATCCGTTCATTAACATATTTATCAATCGGACGAAGGATTTGAAAACGTTTGTTTTTGATATTCTCAACAATAGTTTCTAATTCAATTGAATATGGAGATCGTGTTATATCAATACGCATTCCTATTTCACGTGGATAATCTTTTTCTAATGAAAGATTACTAACATCGAAATCGATACGATCATGTGTTAAGGCAACATGTGGTTCGATTAGATCCATAGTAAATGGGCCGGTTGGTACATCTTTATCTTCATCTATTAGTAATACATATCTCCAATCTTCTCTAAACACCTTGCATACAATATTGAATTTGTGTAGCTCATCTTGAAATTTATCAATATCAAAATAAGCGTGCACAGGTAGGTGACAATCTAAATCCGCTGGAACGACTTCTTTATGCATATACGGAATCCTCTGCCCATTGGAATTTGTTTTATATTCAATCCAATCGTGTGGATTATTTATTAGACCGGCTGGACGCGATATATAATCACCAACAACCCAATCTCGAACGAAACCACCTTCTAATTTACAGTGAAATTTGCAGATAGCTATCCAAGCTACTACTTCCATACGTGTTTCACGGGTTGTACCTGTACCTTTCACAGCATTATATAGATCGACCATCGTTCGTTCACTATCAGTTATACGAGCTATTCTTTTTTCTATATTAGGATAGAGTTTACGCATTTGAGGACGAAGAAGACGTGGTAAAACACCTATAATAGTATGAAAATAATTACATAGTCATTATCATTTAGTTTTAAAACTAATCATTATTTAAACGATAATAATTTCTTCATTTACCTGCATTTGGATGTCTAATAACAGCACACCGTGCTAACCAACCCAAGAACGAATTGAACTCCATTTTTGCATTTTGATTTTCGGAATCTCTGCCTTCGAGTACAATTTCACAAGTTTTCCTAGCCGGATTATTATTAACTGTTATTTCAACTTGTTTCTGAGCTTTCCAACGCCATTTCATTGGGTTGAATATATACGTCATTTTTGTAACACTTTCGAGATTTTTGGATAAATTATCATAGGTTGTTGTATTTTGTTTACAGTCATTTTCCAATTCAAATTTCATAATAGTCACCATTTGTTTTCGTAAATGAAATTCATCGCTAATAACAGTACCTGTCATTCCACTTAATGAAACAATTGGTTTATTCCGTAGTTTATCAACCCAGTTTGAAAACATCGACTTCAAACGTGACCATATATTCTTGCTTTTCAAATGAGTTTCTTCCTCAAAACTAATTTCAATGTTACGTTGCATTGTGTATTCAATCCAGGAAGGTTTTATTTCACCGACAAATGAAAGAATAGCTGTTGAACGAATGGCCGTTGTATAACGAATATCTCTTGCTAATACGACACTGACAGGCGCTTGACTTATTGGGCGTGTAAGAGTTGATTGAAGATCTAAGATAGCTATATCGTTTGTATCTTTATATCTAGCAAATCGATGAGTTCGTTCATGTAGTTCTTTCATTGAAACAAACACGTTGTCAGAATAGCCGGCTAATAACGACTTGGCTATAAATTTCCACTTTCCCGATCGAACTTGGGCTTGTTGACGATACTCCTGGGATAGCTTAAATGAATTTGTCAAGTTTTCATAACGTTTCATTGCTTGCCCAATAATGTGTGCAACATTCTCTAGTCCTTTTTTCTGACAAGCAACTTGAACATTAAATTTATGAGTTAGAACAGATTCTTTGGCTAATAAAACAGTATTCATAATATTCAATAATGTCATGAAGTCGCCATCAGGACTTTTCATATTCTGTGGTATATCTTTCAACACAGCTGTTGTATTTAAAACACTTAGAATAGATGCCAGACAAATGAGATCATGTCCACAATTATATTTTCGAAGAGCAGATAATACTGCTTTTGCCATGGCTAATGAACCGAACTCAGGTAGTTTAGCGAGAAGTTTCCCATGTTGTGTGAATTGATTGCTAGGAGCCGCTTCTAATATACCTGAAAAAAATAGATTTCCTTAATAGTTGGCAAATAGAATCTGTTTGTTTAGTGACTCATAGACTTAATAATCCAATCCTTTGAAATGTTAATCGAATTATTGACTGAAAGTAATTGCTAGCTATAATTCTAAAAGGTTTCATGCTGTTACTTCAACAGAATATATATATACATATTTTTTGAAAAATGTCACAGTTTGTTTTTTTTTTGGTGTCTTGTATTTAATGATAGAAGAGTTGAGTTTCAAATTTAACTTTAGTTTTACTCGTTTGAAATTGGTATGTCGGATTTCTAATCGTTATTGTCATCATGGTTTTTAAATCAAGGAATTAAACAGAAAATATATTCCGATTGTTTGATGGTTATGCTCGATGAGACAACTAACGTCTAGTTATCAGCTAGAAACCAGATGCAAAATTATTGAGAAACCCATAAAACTCCATTATTATTGATCTCTTGAGTCCAGCCAGAGTTGGGACCCGTTCGGCCGGACCGGACTGGTTGAATTGATAGAACCGGCTGGTCTTCGTCGATTTTTACCAGTTTGAAGAAATATCTAAACTCACCCCTGGTCCCCTCAGGGTTAAGTCAAAAATGAATTTTATAAATTTCCAGATATATAATTTTTTCATAATAAAATATGTCTAGAGCAAGTTGAAGTTCTTTAATTCAAATAATCGTGTTCTTTCGAAAATCCTCAGTTTCATTTTCTTCAATCTCTCTAGAAATTTTAAGTTTTTTAATCAAACTTTATTTTGTTACAGACCATATTTGATGTTGGATTATCATATAAACAGAAATATTAGCTTTCACTGTGCAACCTAAGTGAAAAATTCAAGATTTGTAGATTAGCAATCGAATGTCGAGTAGATAAGTGTTTTTTGTGATCGTAGGAAAACATCGCATATTCATCTTTAGAAAAATTCACACATATAAGGGACTATAGTATCATATTTCTTCTTGAAGATTAACAAAAACATGAGAAAAAAATACGATGACGGATGTTCTCTGAAGCCTCTTCTTTTAACCAATCATAAACTACCTAACATATCAATCACGCTTTGTCGGCTTTTGCCGGTCTGGAAAGATTTTTTGACCGGCCGAGTCGATCAGTTTGAAAATTCTGCACCGGTTCCAACTCTGAGTCTAGCATCATGTATCTTATCTGAAAAAAATAGACTTCATATATTAGGACTAGATTGTAACTGATTCAAATGATTATTTACTTGTCATGGAATATTCCTATGATATTATCTTAAATGCTGGATCGGGTTGTATATTACTCTTAGAGTCAAAATATAATGAACACGAATATTTTTTTGAAATATCTCGTGAACCAACAAAAGTAGCTTTGAACCTGTAATTTTCGTTATTTGAAAGACAAATATGAGGAAAAGTAAAAGTTTACTAAATCTTCTTAACGATGAATTGACCAAAATGATTATTTTTTGCTAGAGACTTTAAAAATGAGATTTCGGAAAATTTCGGAATCAGTTTAGGAATTTATTTTGCCGATTCGTTTTCAAAACCTATATCAAAAGCTAACCAGCTTGGCTGATTCATGTTAAAAAGGTTTAAATAAAGTTTTACTTTCCTTACATTCATTTTCTGCATGGTGAAAACTGCAAGTCCAAAGCTACTTTTTTTTTAAAAATATTTAAAAACAAACTATCCGCGTTTATTATTTTTTAACGTCAGTAGTGTATTACCATAACTAAGACTGTTCATAGCGATCAATGTTACTTACTCATTTTTCTGAGTTCTTCAATTGTCACATTAATAGCTTTTTGTTGTAGTTTATCGGGCAAAAATTGTTGCATATAATCCAATCCATCTTTAATCGGTGATCTTCTCAATGAAAATTCAATATTTGTCAAATCCGATAGACGTATATGAGGTTCTGGAAAACGTTTATCTTCTACTCTGAAAGTATACAAATAATGATATTCTCCAGATCTTGTTCTACCCAATCGACCAAGTCGTTGTTTCATGGTGGATTCAGCTGCTCGTACTTGTTCCAAGATAGTTCGCTTGGATTCTGGGTTATAAATAGGTATATTTACCATGCCTGTATCGACGACATATTTTAAGGATGGAAATGTTAAAGAAGTTTCGGCGACTGTTGTCGAAAAGAATACACTTCCATGTTCAATATATGCCTCTTGAATCAAAGACGATTGAGACTGAATCAATGGATAAGCAATGATTGTTCCACGACTTAATTGTGCCAATAGACGACAACATTGATGAACTTCAGTAACAGAATGTACAAAACATAGAATTTGATCGTTTCGTTGACGTTTTTTGTACAATTCTTGTACAATATCCAAAATATTTTCATCTGGACGAGGGATTTCTTTCACACGATACGGAGAACGGATTTGTGGCATGTCAAATTCAGTAAATTCTAAATTTGATATTTGACGAAAAAGTCTTGGTACGGATACATCCAGAGTGGCTGATGAGATTATAAGTTTTATTTTACATTCAAGATCTGGTTGCATAGTCAATAGTCGAGCTAACAATGCTAAGCAAAGATCGATATTGACTGAGCGCTCGTGAACTTCGTCTATGAAAAATACAATCCATTTGTTTACTTCAATCTTATTCGTAATAAAATGTTCATCATATAAAAGTCGTTCTTTAAGCAGACCGTCTGTTAAATAGAGAATTTTTGCGTTTGGATTGTGCTCATCACCACTTACAGCCCATCCAGATAGTTGATGTGATGTATTACCTGTATCTGTTTCGATCGTCTCATTGACGCGCTTCGAAATCATTTTACACGGTAAACGACGAGGTTGAGTCACAATAACTTTATCATATCCTTCTGCAATGAGTAGAGCTGGTAATAAGGTGGATTTTCCTAGAAATAAAACAATTATTATCCATTTCTTCAGATAGAATGTGCATATGAAAAAAGACTGATAGCAAGTCGAATATTCATCGTACATGACCAAATGGTCCTGTAAAAACATTTCAGAATCCAGACCAAGTATTCCAACCACTGAAGATATTGAAAAATAGAGTAACCCGCAGAAAAACATGAAATTCTACTCCTCTATTCACAATAAGCACCTATCTAAAGAAAAGTTTCATTAACGATTCTACTTGTCACAACTGGCTAGAGACGATGGAGTTCTGTCGTATTTCCTGCATGTTTCTTTCGTCTCCCAGTCCAATCTAGTTAGATTGCTGATATTCAATGTGGCTGGAAGACATTGAACATGTAGATATGGTCGCCCGCGCACGTCTCTGTAATTCGTTCACATAAAAGTTAACCAGGAAACAAAAAAAAAAGAGCAAAAGCCCAGATCTTTCAAAAATAAAACAAAGATTCAGCGTTTCAAAAAATGAACGCTTGACTAGGAGTCCGAATTCGTACTCGCAATGACCGTACTCACCTTCGTAGCAGAAAGTATCTCGAATTGAAAGTCTTCAGTTTTGACGAAGTATGACAGAAAAGTGACCAGAAAAAACTGACGAATACCGCCTGGGAATACAGTTTTTACGAAGTCACAAGAACAGTCAAGGTTGGTTATTTACGGCCATAGAGCATTGACTTAGGAGTGGATTATATTTTGCTCATGAAATCTCTCAATCATTTGGAAGACTTAGTGGAAGCAAAGACATTTTTTCGTTCGAGAATATGTTACTATTCTTTAAATTTTATTCAACTAGATTCAATGAATCTGTTTCAAAGACCAACGACGCAACGAAAACCTTGTCCAGGAGAAACTTCTTCACCTTTCCTAGCTATTTCCGTCATATATTGCAACCATTCTTTCCTATCATTTACACACATCATAACTCTCATGGTTGCATACTCATTTAACAGATGTAATTATTTATTTAGTCTTCATTCAAACCGCTTCGATTGCCAAGATGACACTAAAACCTGCGATTCTTCTCTACTTTCTGTTTATCATTCCTGCTAACTGTATATCATACTAGGCAAATAGAGAATAATATTCTTCTATATGTCTTACCTGATCCTGTTGATGTTGCTACCGTGGTGATAGTATGATTTTTGATTTTATCCAATAGCTCTACTGACGATTCAAATAATGGTAGTTGTACTTTAAAACAAGAGTAATAGATCATGATTTGTTGTAACAATTGTGGTATCATATTGAAATGTTGTACTTCACAATCTTCATGGATTTGATCTGATCTCAATGTTGTCTTAATATTGTCAATAAATTGTTTGACAATACTGACAGATTCTTGTGAAGGAGCTTTTTCGAATTTCCATCGTTGAAACGAAATATTCTGTTCGATAAATTCTTCAAGTGCTTTATTTTTAAGACCTTCAATTTCATTTGTGAATGGATGTTGCTCTAAGAATTGATTGGTAGTTATTCGAAGTTCAGTCCAAGGAGAAGTCAATATTCCCGAAATGGATTGTCCAATTAATGATCTAGATTTTTCTTTAATATTATCATTGAATCTAGTAGTATATTCGGTGATCTTTTCATTTAATAACTCAAGTAAAATTCTAACATATTGCTTCCAAATGTTTGTATCCGCTTGAACTTCCCGAAGTATCCCGACTACCATTCGTTTAATTCGATTCAAGCTTCGTTGGTAGAATTCTTCAGACGACTTGGTTGCCTTCGATAGGTTTATAATGCGTCGTAGAGCATCTTTGAATACAGCATGATGGTTTGGAAAGCCCATAATAGTGAAAGTAAATGTATCTTGTGTTTCTTCAAAAGTTATTCTCGGAACTCGATCGTGAAAATGTTCATCTATATCCTGAACACTATTCTTTACATACTTGACGAGTTCCTCAAACTTTGGTACTAGAAAATCATGCATAAATTGTTTGTCAATATTAATGTATTGGAAGATTTCAATAATTTTTTCAATTTCCTTCAATTTTTCTTGTCGTTCTCGTAATTTGTCTAGCTCAGAGTTCAACTTAGTGATTTGTTCTATAGCGTCGAACAATTTTTTTGCTTCTATTTGTTTTTCTTCTTCATGTTGCTGATCAAGTTCTGCCTTAGTTATAAGCCATTGTTGTTGTCTTTCTCCTTGTTCTATATGCGTTGCAGCCATTTTCTTTTTGATTGTGTCCAGTTGTTTTTCATACATTTGTTCTCTTTGTTCATACTTGATTTGTTCTAGCTCGATCGAACCGTCAAGTTTTGCTTTTTCATTTTGCAATTCATTAAGCTTTTTTTGTTCTATTTCCAATTCTGTTGTAGAGTTGGGTATTTCAACAGGAGACAGTAGCTGCTGTGAAGCAGCGGTATTAGGTGTCGTATCCGTGAAATAATCGTCGGCATCGACTTCAGTTTCATTTTCAGTCACTTCTTTTATGATTGACCGAAAAGACTCATTATTATTTGTTATCGTATCAAGGGATGCTTGTTTATTTCCAAATGATTGACCAGTCTAAATAATAAGTGGAATAAGAACAAAATGGTGTAGAAAACTTTATTATCCACTACAAGGATAGTGATCCTCGAATGAAACTTATTTTTTTAATGAACTTATTGTACCATAGAATGTTTGAATGAGCTAAAGACGCGAGTTTGTTGATTTCAGATGATGACGTTTTGGATGCACAATATATACAAGAAATAAAGAGTTTAAATGTTGCCTAATGTCTCGATTTGTTAGTCCACTCATGGCTGCTCCCTTAAAGATGATCCTGTACTGTTCATGTTGAGGAACTATCTAAAAGAGATTTTCGTAAGCATAACTCAAGAAGGTCTACATATTGATATGATCAGATCAACGTTTGCTCTCATTTGGCGTGTTTGTAAATGTTTATGTTGTTTATTAATAGTCGAATTCAAAAGACCATATCACAAGAATAGAAAATTCGATTGTTTTACACTTGACTGGAGCACATTGACAGCCAAAAATCTTCATTATATTTTTTGAAATTTCAAAATTTCATGTAAAATTCGTAAGTTCGAGTCCTAAAAATCTGCAGATACCAAAATGGTATGTCCGGCACAGTCTGTGGACCAGACAAAGAAGGAGAAATGGTTTCCTTTTCTGATGATCTGGAGTATTGAATTATTTATCGAATGATTTAAAGCAAGACGAACTTCTCTATTATTCCACATGCTGGACAGCCAGGTGACAGTTTGTTTGTTGCATGGCTTCCGCTATCTATGTACTGTACTTGCGTTCTATCAATGAAATCCTAGTTCCATCAATGTGAATGGAAACGCTTTAGACTATACACATAAAAAAAACCATAACGTCGAGTGAGAGACTTTAGACAACTATGTATTATTTTAGAGAAGTTTCAACAACAAAGAATACAGTATCGAATAGGCTTAGGACAGCTTAGCTCAAAAGTTCAGATCAAATGATCGAAAGAACTGTTGAAACTTTCTTTTGATAGATGCTAAAGTGTATAAATAGTTCTTTCAATAAGATCATAGCTTTTTGAATAGTTTTCTGAATATATCGTATCTAACAAAGATTAACCAACTATCTATAACTTTTCGCGAGTTACGTTCGACAGATACCTGCCATTTTTTTAGGACTGTGTGAGGGTGATACGTATAACTTATAAGTATCACCTTTAGTTAGCACCAAAAATGCTACATGTCTCACTGCCAGGTAACTCTTAAAAAGTCACAGATATGAGTCTTACGTAGCCTTAAAAAAGTTACAAATATGACCACTAGCAGTATTTATCAGAGAATGGTTTCAAGAGTATCGAACTTACATTCTTTGGTTCTTCCTCATCAATGGACAGAGCTTCATCTTGATTGAGGTTGCTTGGTAATTCATCACTATTTTCATTTCCATTATCTATGTACATTTCATCTTGGTCTACTGAACTGCCACTCGTTACTTGTGACATTTTTAGACGATGTGTAGTAAGTGGTGTCAATTCTGAGTTTGCCAGTGTTTGGAAATTATCAATATTTTTTAATTCATATTTATTATCTTCATTCGTCAATACAAGTTTTGGTATCCATCGTATAAAGCCTGAAATAGTGTCTTGCTTGTTGTCCAATGAAAATGTCTTCATATCAATTTCAAGTTCATCATCGCTTACATAATTAATAGATGTTGTTATACGTCTTCGTCGATTGTTCATAGCTTTGTCTAATAGTGAGTTTGTTTGTGCATCACAATTATACCAAGTATTGAGTTGAATCTGGAATGACAGATCATCCATTGTTGGAAGATCAAAAACTTTTAGGCATGGTACACTTGTCACATTTGATTGTGGATGCTTGGTCAGGAGGATTTGCCATAAAGCATAACAATCAAAGTTTAAAATTGAAGAACCACGACATCGAATCCATGCTAAATCCTCATTTTTCTCTTTATTTCCTGCATATCGTAGAAATTGACTGAGTGAAACTGTGTAAACAATTGAAGATATATTTAAATAAACTTCGTGTTTAAATTGTTGATCTGATTCCACTATAAGTGACTTATTTAATTCTCTCGATTCATTAGATTCGAAAGGATACCAGTTGTTTTCAGAAAGCGGTTTATACTCCCAGATACAGTCTTCTTTCAACTTCATGCCACCTTCAACAATAGGTAGTTCGGGTAGCGTATCTTGTCGTTCCGAATAACTATTATTGATTCTACTTTCAAAATATTCTCTAATGTCTGCATGGTGTTCTATATTCATTATTGGCGTTTCTTCTGCTTGATTTTTAATGTAATAATCAGCACCATGTTCAACTAAATATTTCACAACGGCTAAATGTCCATGGAAGCAGGCTCCATGCAAAGAAGTTGATCCAGCAACTGGATTCACTTGATAATCTGGTGCTATAATTGTTTCAACACCTAAAGCTCTCTCAAAATGTTGCTGATTCTGAGCATCTACAGAGCAATCAGCTTCTGTGATGAGGTATTCGATCAGTTCTATATGATTATTACGGGCTGCTGAATACAATAATGTTGTACCCCAAAGACCAGGCTTGTCCTTGAATTGTGGATACTTACTGATAAACTCTCGTACAACAAGTGTCTCTCCGTTCCATGCAGCTTCAAAAGCATCGATGGAATCTCGCATAGCTTCAAGATCATTCAGAAATGCATGAAGGCTATTCATGGTAAGATTTTCCTTAAATATTAATTCCTGACAATCATAATGATATTCAAATAATAAATTGAATATATATTGTCGGTAATTTTCAGGTATTGTAGATAGACAATCATAAAATATACGTTGAAGTGTGTTTGTTAACGTTTTCATACGTTCATCATCTGCAGCATTGATCGAAAATGTATTAATATTATTATTCACTGCGGCATTTTCCATTAGAGTATCTGTAGTTGACATTTCTCGCTGTTGCAAACATTCAAGTAAATTGCGAACAACTTCAATAGCAGTCTGCAAACTCTGTTTCAATATTTTGTTGTCTGCAGCATAACTCGCCATTGGTTTTTATGGAGATTGATGTGATGTCTGTCTTAAATCGCAATAGCAAATTACAATAAAATTTCCAAGTGTGACGTTTGATTTGTAGAGGGCAAAAGAAATAAAAGAACAATATTTTGAAAAATCTCAACTGAAAGAATTTTTATAGCTTTTTATTTCCAGCGTACAAATATTATAAAAGAGAACAGAACGGAAAAAACCCAGTAGAAGAAAAATACCTTAAAAAAAATATTAATTGACATCTATGACTGCTGTCAAGGTGAATCACAGTCTGGAAAAAGAATTTGTAAACTCGATCCTTTTTCGTCATATATAAATTTGCAATATTATTTATCGGTAGCATACTTTGTGTTTCATTACGTTTAAGGAAGGTTACATGAATTATTTGAAAATAATTTTATCTTCTCCTCTATCGATTAAATACAAAGTATATAGTACAATAACCGATGGTTCGAGCGTAAAACATTCTTCTACAGAATGAAAAAGTTGTCTTTAGTATAAGATAAACATCATATTCTTTACCGTTCTTTTTTTTGCTTTCTTTGAATTCCATTTAATACTGGTGCGAACGAGGAAAGTTAAACTTTCACGTATGAGATTTTACCGTCTTGTTCATGCCAGTATTAAATGGAATTCAAAGAAAGAAGAAGAACAACAACATGAAAGAATTTTATATTTATTTTAGTTTAAATACAATTTTTTCATTCTGTAGAAGAAAGTTTTACGTTCAAAATGTCGGTTATTGTATTATGTATTTCTTATTTAATTAATAAATCGAGAGAAAAACTTATTTTCAAATACTTTCTCGTGTTTAACACAGAGGTTAAGGTGTGGCTGTGACTGTGACCGTGGTTGTGGATGTAGGTGTGAGTGTGAGTACGGATGTATGGGGCGTGTAAAGAACAGAGAAACACCTAGATAATCCATCTACACCTAGGCCCAGACCCACACCCCACACCTACATCCTCTCAAGACAAGAAATACATCTGATGGATAAATGCGGGTCGCACAGACAGTCTCGCTCATTATAGGCCACTGTATTTAGCGAAAACGCTTACCTAAATGTAAAATGTTGGTATTAAAGGGTGCTGATTTACGCTGAACCTATCGTAGACAAACAGTATTCGTCTGACGATAGGTGCCTGCTTTTATACTGTGTGATAACGCGGAAAAAACCGAGAATAAAAATACTCCACATTGACGATTAGAAACGCAGTGGGTAAAAACTCAGAGAAAAAAACATAGCAGTGGGTAAAATTACACAGAGCAAAAGAGGAAACAGGCGAGAAATAGCACAAAGAGAAAAAATAATTTACGCTCGAGTGTTCTCGTCTCTTTTCTGCGTCATTGTAACGGAATTTATCTTTCTTGAGGGGTCGAAATGTGCCTACCGAAGAAATAATTCAAGCACATCATATAATATGTTTCAAATTTTGCTAGAAATTAACATTAGGTGTGGGTGTAAATTAAATTATTAATTGAAAACAGATTAATCTATATTTTTTTAAAGAATGATATAAATTAATCCGCTACTTTCAACTTGGGCTTTTCAGCAACCGATTAAATCAACTTAAAATTTTTATTTTTAATATTGTGCTTGAATTAAATTTAACACAATAGATAAATAATGCAGATTTATTTTAACGCCGACGCGTTTCGTGTTATTTATTGAAATATTAAAACACTCATAAGGGCTCTGCATTTACAATAAGAAGCAAAAAGCAAAAAGCAAAAAAGGAATTCAAATTTAAATAAAGTAAAAATAGAAATAACTGCTTAAAACAAAAACAGACGGAACCAATCGAAAAAATTAAGATAAAGAATTTTTGAGTAATATATAATTAAAAAATTAGTTAATCAAAATTTAAAGTTTTTAATCAACAACGTTGTAATACGAACCACTCGGTAATACTGATTCAAGTTAGACGAAGTATGAATATTAAATTTATTTAACGATTGGAAATAATTTCTCTTCTTTGGATTGTTGCATTACATATATCAAATCTATATATGTACAAATGGAAATAAGTCACGTATATAAAATCGAAATATATTGATGTATGTATGCATGCCAAACGAGTTACAAAGCAGTTTATATTAATATAACCGAATACAAAACAAATTTTTAGTATATTGAATAACTCGACCTCTGGTTGACGGATAATTGGATGTTCACTGAATAAAGTTATTTGATAACCTATTTACATACTTATATATTCACTTATTTGTTTCTGAAAATATAAACAATATAGATAATATCGGATGGGTGATAATAACTTCTCTTCTTTGAATGGTAGCCTTCAAAAGAATTATATCACTTATTTGTCTCTGAAGATATAGACAATAAAGATAACATATATAATAATAAGCCAATAATATCACTTATTTGTCTCTGAAGGTATAGACAATAAAGATAATATATATAATAGGGTGTGGGTATTGAATCTGAAATAAGCCCACATCCATCCACACCCACACTCACACCCACATCCACACTCGCACCCACACCCACACTCACACTCACACCCACCCACACCCACACCCACCCCCACCCCCACCCCCACCCACACCCACACCCACACCCACACCCACACCCACACCCACAC